GTCATCATCTAATACAAAAATTTCTGCAGGGAAGTATAGGGAAATGGTTGAGATGCAATACGGGTTTGGCTTACAAGAGAGATATAAAGAGTAGTGTACCGTACCATCGAAACAATAGCATCAAAGGGTATTTGAGGTCATTGGTTTATAGTGGTGATCATGACTTTGTGGTGCCTTTTATTGGAACACAAGNTTGGATTAGATCTCTAAATTATTCAATCATTGATCAATGGAGACCATGGTTTATTAACAATCAAATTATGGGATATACAAGGACTTACGCCAACAATATGACATTTGCCACTATCAAAGCAAGTCCCCTTTGTTTTGGTTTTTAGTTTCTCATCAAATGGGTTTTTAATATCTTTTGTTGTTACATTAAGATTGTAAAAGTTTTTTTTTTTTTTTGGGTTTAATTTTGCAGGGAGGAGGACACACTGCAGAGTATAAACCAGAGGAGAGCTTCATAATATTTCAAAGGTGGATACGTGGCCAACCTCTGTGACATAGCTCCATTGAACAAAATAGTACTATAGCTTTTGAAAATTCAAATAATAAAAGATAGATAAAGAATTTTCTCATGTCTATTGTAAAGTTGTTGCCACAACCGGATCTTAACACCTCCTTATGAAACATTTGAATTAGACCCTACTTAACTATGAGGACCCTCCTTAAATAAATAAATAAATATTGAAAAATGTTTAGTGTGACAATTTTTTCGGATGGGATTTCGGATTCTCTATACGGCTAAATCCTCTTGTGTGATATTTTTCTGCTTCCTCCTTTCTCTAGATGTTCATAAAACTTTGGTGGTTTCTTTGGTTTGCGTATGTTCGGCAGTTGATACAAGTGTGTGATCCTAAAATAATTCTCACTTTTGTTCGTTTAATAGTTGGCAATATTTAGTGGAATCTAAATAAAAATATCTTGACGTAAATATCTATTGTTAGTCGATGATATATATTGGTCCAAAATCATCGACTATATTATATAAAACCCTCTAGATTCGCATCATCTTAGGTGGGTTGCGTTGCTTTTTTTTTGCTGGTTAATCAAGATTTTTGAGTTCAAGAAACTGGGATGATGAAATTTGATTAGACATCTGCATACTTGAGGTTTACTGATACTATTACTAGTCATGACTAATAACCTTACTCATGTTTGCCATTGCAATAGTTTGTAAGAGTTTTCATAAGGTAAATGGTTCTCATGTTCTTTGAATTAGTCTTGTAGTGATAAACTTCTTGCTAAGAGACTAATGAGAGGTTTTGTTCTAAGTTACTTGTTAATTCAAGCTCATTTATTGATCATTGTACTGAATTTTTGGTAGGAGGTTCTACAATGAACTTGTTCTGATTCGTTTCGATTGACATTTGAGTGATTCTTTTGTTTTGACTGCAAATATTAATTCAGCTCCTATTGTCCTTTAATAGTTTTGATGATGCATGAGTGATTGATAGTGGAAGAGAGATTGATAATGTTCAATCATTTGCGTTATATGGATTTTCATTCTTGGCCTCGTTGGAAGAGCTAATGGTTGCGGGTCAGGGTGAGGAAAGTGAAAATGGAGAAACTGAAGAGGATGCAGTGAGCATGATGCTTCGACCTCTGATAATTTATTCATCACGCAATTATTGCAATGGCAAACATAATTGAAGCTAAGCATTGCCTGCTCTTAGTTGGTATAGGAGAATTTGAGGATCTTAATTCCATTTTCTGTCTCTTTTAGTTGGTTATAAGTTGGTAGCATCTTGTATCTTTCATGGATGTACGATATGTTTAGAGTGATTGACTATTGTTGCTTCCTCAGAAGGTTGATATTAGTTTTCTTGTTCCTGATTTTATAAATTCCAAACTGATTGTTTTTCTTTTCTGGGTAAATTGCAGAATCACTTTGGAAATCGTTCTCGTCAATGGTTAAGCAAGGGAAGATTCTGATTATGCTTATACACATTGTTTTTTTTTTTTTTTGCAGGCTCTTGATAAGATTCGATTCGAGAGCTTGACTTGAATCAAACCATGAATCTTAGAAATCCCTAATTACACATAATTGCCTTGACTGGTGTCTTGTGATTGATTCGTACGTGCTCTATGTTTTGGTGTTACAAGATTACCGTGAGTAGACAACTGCATTCAACATCATCAAGAAGCATCTTCAATTTCACTAAATCAACGAAGTCACGTTTTTATGCTTTCATCCCAAAAGAAACGCATATCCTTCTCTTCTTGTGGCGCCACATTCTCTGTTTTCTTATATTTAATTAATTGTACTTAGTAGTAAAACAAGTCTTTTTGACTCTTGAGATTTGTCTATTTCGAATGTCTTTATTATTGTTAATACCTTTTGTTTTTAAACCTGTTTGCAAACAAGTTTCATCATTCTGTTAATTCAATAACTAGAATAGTCTTGTTTTTGTATTATCAATCTCTGAATATGTTACTGCTACTCAAAGTCAATGAAAAGAACATGACCAATACACAATCAGTAATTAAGATTTAGATTCACAAATTAAGAAGGTAAAATCATGCTCATTCA